GCCTTGAGGAGGAAAGCATCCAGCGTTGTCGGGGGTTGAATGCAAACATCCTTAGCGAATTCTGTGCAGGGACAGAGCTCGCGTTTGAGCAAAAACTTTTTCATGTCATCGGTGGTAGAGACTTGGACGACCTCCTTGTTGAATTTTTCAATGTAGGCCCCCAGGGGTTCATCTCTCCCTTGAATGATGGCCTCGAGGGAGGCTTCCGTCTTCGGATGTCGGCGAGAGGCCGTGAAATGTCTGGAGAAGAGTTTCCCCAGTTGCCTCCATGAGGTGATGGAGTCGTTAGGGAGCCCTTTGTACCTGGTCATTGTCCCGTTCCTAAGAATGGTCAGGAATAACCTGCACTTGATGGCGCCTCGGATGCCGCGATAGTCGAGCAGCGCATCGATATTTTCGATGTACTCGTCGGGGTCAGTTGTTCCGTCGTACGTGCCTAGAGAGGGAGGTTTCTCTAGTCCTTTTGGGAGGCGCGTGGCCATGATCTCCTGGGACAACGAGTCGCAAGGCTCGTCGTCGCTGATGCAGCTGGTCCAAGATGGGGAGCGGTCGTCACGTCTATAGGTAGGACGAAGGTCTCGTTGGGGAGACAGGGTTCGTGCTCGCCCTTAGATCTGGGCAGAGACGAACATTGGGTTTCTACCTGGTGGCCTCTTCTGGCCCTCTTGGGTTGTGGGGAATGTTGGTTATGGGGAGAAATTTGCCCGCGTTTGCAAATAGTCAGGGTCTCTGGCTCTGGAGTCGTCGGACGGTTCCTCTTACGCCGGGGAGGGGGACTCCGTCGTTGCTGACGTTCTTTCCTCGGCGGAGGGGATCTTGGACGATGGGACTCTTCCAATGCTTCAATCCTCCCGTTCTGGTTGAGGATTAGGAGGTTGGTTTTGTTGAGAACTTCGAGGAGGGCTGCCATGGATGGGTCGGCGTTGGGCGGAACTGGAACTAGCAGGTGCTACGGGACAAGTAGGGCTTCGCCGTGATCCGCACGAATAAGGGATGGAGAAGTTGTGGCTCTGCCTCCATGAGGTGGTGGCTCCATTAGCATCAGTCTTGCTGACGGGGAGAAAAGCAGAGTTACGAGCATCAAGATTGTTGTCACGGGCAACCATAATCAGAAATTTGAAGAATTGTTTGGGTCTTGTGTTCTACGAAGAGAGAAAAGATGGCGATAACAAGTTTCCCACAGATGGCGCCACTAATGTTACCAAATGATCAGAACCTGAGATGGGCCAAAGGCAAGCATCTGTGATGCTGGGTGTGAAAGAGAAGAAGGGGGTGCACCTTTGAGGTACTCCGATGCTAAAGTAAGAAAACGAGCAAGAGAGCGAGCAAGTACATAATATGTGTGTTTCATGGTGAAAAATTGGATACCTGACCCTCTCAAATGAGAGGGTTTTTATAATGCCCCCAGCGCTTGGCCATTTGTCCCTATTTTCGGGGGGAGATAACTGTTTCCCGAGGAATAGGTAACTACCAGAAATAACCTTTGGGACGGGCAAACGTGTCCATAACTAGCTGTTGGCACGGGCAGGGTCGTAGTCACGGGTACAAGCGTTTTGGCTGCTTCTGGATGGTGGAATCGTACGTGACAGGCAGAGACTAACGGGGAGAAGTGTTGTGACCAAGGGTAAAATGGTCAGTCTCCCCTGTTGGAGGGGTAGAAAGGTAAACTTTTCACCAAATAGGTTGGACTTAGGCAATTAGGTCGTTCTGGGAGCAGAAGCGGATTGAGCCATGCCTAGCCATTAGGCCAGTTCGGAACAAATATATAAAAATATGATTTATATATTTAATGTTTTAAATTTTTTTATGAAACTGTGTTGTGTGATTTATTAGTCGTTCTCTTCGGGATTGTTATAGACCTAAGAATACTTGGTCTCAATTGGTTAGTAATACTTGTAAAAATCTCTTCTTCTCCGTTTCTTTGAACGATTGGCTTCATCTAAATTAGTCGTCTTCGCACATCTTCAATAGCCCCGACGGGGTTGCTCTTTGGGCAACAGGTTGTCATTTGATTTGGATATGGAGGAATAAAAAGATCCATGTCCTCTTCTTCATCTTCCCTCTTGATTTGGTTTTAGTCATCCGCCAGCATGATATGCTCTATAAAGTTAGCAGCTCCCTTGTCTTTCGATCACAGCCTTCGCACACTCAGTCGGCTTCGGCGCGGTGGATCCTCCCCTCCGGATTGAATTTGACATAATTCTGATGGTACTTGTAATTCGAAGTCTAGAGCTAGTTGTGGTGGTCTCGTCTGTGGTAGCAATGAGACCTGGCGTGGTGGTTTTCATAAGTACCTCTGTAGTTGCAACAATCTTATGGCTGAGTTTTGGGGTGTTTATTATGGTTTAGAGCTTGTTTGCCAGCACAACTTCAAGAAGATTATTGTCCAAGTGGACAATAAGCAGGTTGTTGACATCCTGGCTGATTCTAGTTCGATTACTAATCAAGGTGCTACATTAGTTAGGCGTATTTCTTTCCTTCTTTACAAGTTTGATGATGTTTATTTCAAGCACGTGTTTAGGGTAAACAACAAATGTGCAGATTTTCCGATCAAAAAAGATTTTTCTAACTCAGAAGTTGAGATTTGGTTAGATGCGTCTCTGCCGGAGATTATTAGGATAATAGCCTTTAATTTTGTTGGTTCTTTTGTTAGGCCTTTTGGCTAGTGTCTATTGTTTAGCTCTCTTTTTGTAAAAAAAAAAAATCTTAAACCCATAAACTCTAAATTAATTCGTCTGTTGTTTAATGGTTGATGTCTCTATAGGAGTTCAAACCATATTTTTTTAGAATGGAAGGTAATACTCATCTTACAAAATTTTGTGAAGTTGAATTATATAAACTCAAATTGGAAGAACACATTTTCCATTAGTGTATTTCTTTTGCCAAAGTATAATCTTTAATAAAAGTAAACATTTGTGGGATGGAAAAAACATTATTGTGTATATAATTGGTACTCCTGCTATATATGTCGTAAAGTTATGTATGATTGTTTTAACAAATTAAAACTAATAGTATTTTTGATCTTACAAGGCATGAGTAAAAGCATCACGTACTCTACTTTTAACACATATCATGCAATTGTCGTCATAATAATGCTTTTCAATCTATTTTCACTTGTCGCTTATTGGAAAAGAAGCATAAGATTTTATGGACTGATCATTGAAAACAAAAACAATAGCAATGGTTGTTTTCGGTGGGGTTTTTGGTGCATTATTTGGTTAAATCATCATGATACTATTGATTTATATAGGTGATCTTCTCTGTGAGGATTAGTCTGCATCATAAAGAAGATAGGAATCAAGAACCAGATCAAGACGTTCACTAATATTGGTAGACAAGTCATTGATAATGATATATGTCCTACTCAAATCTATTGTATAAAACAATCAAACCAAACAAGGGATGTTTGTTTCTTAAGTAAAGGAGGTGACACTCATCTTTCTCAATTGTTCGGGACCGGGCCCAAATCCTTCTCAAACTCCACCATGGAGGGGTACGGTACGTTAAGAGACCGCGTCGTCAACACACCCCAAGCAAATCCACCTAGTGCACCATCATCGTGTTATGTGTTATTATAGACGATATGATCCACAAATCACTTCGGATATCTTGGATAGACTCAATGTCTTTTCGCTCAAATTTTCTTATGATCCCGTTTATATAACTAACTTAATTATGAAAAGAATTTAATTGAAATATATTGATAATGTAAAAGAAATTTATACAGTCGGTTAATCATAGACGTTGAATATTGAAGAGAGTTAACTTTTATTTTAACCATTTATAAAATAATGCATAACCTTTTACACTGACAATACATATTAATTAATCTCGGCTGAAAACCTCTATCACCTACCTCATTCAAATAGTAACTTGTGCCTAATAGTAATAGTGTCTGGAGCCATCTCTCGGTGAGATCAATTACTGTCCTATGCTGCATGCCACAACTCCAACCACCGATCTAGGCCCATTTCAGATGACTAATGGTTGAATATGACTCATTATATGAAAACTCCAGAGATATCTCGGGCCAAACTGTTTGTTTGTTGGGGGTTATTATTGTAAACAGGACCCTTGCATTATATATATATATTGGTTGTATCCGTAAAATTTTAATTCATAAGATATAAATCAAGAAATAATGATAACTGCTTTACGGTCGTAGAGATAAACATCATTGGATAAACTGCATTAACAAAAATCGTTCGTGTTGATTATCTTTTATTTCTTTTTAATCTTCTATAGTGGTTATTGTTGTTGTTATAGCACTAAAAAAGCACTTATATTGAGTGGCTAAGACATCGTAGAATTCGAGTTGAAAACTCGTTTGACTTGTAAAAAAACCGATAACATGTTAATAAGTCATTGATGTTCAAGGTTCAACCGAGTCGAGTCGCCGAACCAATTCCCTACTTGGATTTGTTAAAAAGATGAATGACACAAGTTTGCCTCGTTTACTTAAATACATCTAGCTAAAAAATTGTACTAACTTGTTAATGAATAATAAAGCTTTAGCTTATTATGGGTCCATAGACCATTTTTCTTTGTTGAAAGTTTCGACAATTTTAGAAATTTGGATGAGTTTGCATGTCTATTATTCCTACATTTCAGTGTATCATAATTTTCTTTGATTTGTTTTCTTGTTAATAATTTTCCTTTGCTTTTGGTCACACACGATTAGCACAATCAGACTCATATAACAGGCAAATCTTCATGTAAAGATAAAATAGGCAAAACATCTTTATGGTTTTGTGGTTGAAAGTTGAAAGTGACTATCCAACTTGAAAAAAAGTTTATAAACCCATTATAGTCCAATCATTAACATGCAATTCAATCACTCATTATTTTTTCCACTCAAACTCTCATAAAACCACACACAATACATTGCAGAAAATTGCGATCAAATGCAGTTAATACTTGCATTGTAGTCTCCGATACATAAAAAAACCTCGTGGTTGCTCGTGATTTGTATAGGAAGGAGGGGCTATAATTCTAGTGTCATGAAGAGAGCAAGTGAATGGTATGGTTCTTGTTTTCTGAAACTCGCTCTTTGGATTATTTGCCCATGCTAACGTGAACTTTTGCTTAGATGAGATGAAAATTACTGAAAATTGAACTATTTATTACAGGAATTATTCTCAGGAGATTCCAAGTGACGTCACTGTTCAAATTGGTGAAGCTTCTTATTCATTGCACAAGGTATGCATGAACAAGTTCAAATAACAAACTTACTAATCATAGGATCATTAAATGGAGAGTACTATGATAGAATATTATGAAGCTGTTTGATCTTTGTAGCCGACTTCACGTATTGGTATTAAAAGTTGTTTATTTTGAAATCAATAATTATTGAATTCCTTTTCATATCGAATATATTTTGCAGTTTCCATTAATTTCGAAAAGTGGATATATAAGGAAACTCATTTCAGAATGTTGTGATGCTAATTCGGATATTCTGCTGATTGAACTCATTGACATCCCTGGTGGATCAGAAGCATTTGAACTAGCAGCGAAATTCTGCTACGGCATAAACTTTGAAATAAGCGTTGAAAACATCGCTATGCTACGTTGCGTGGCTGAGTATCTCGAGATGACAGAAGATTATTCGGTCGGAAACTTGGCAGGAAGAACCGATTCTTATTTGAATGACGTCGCACTCAAGAGCATGTCAGGAGCAATATCTATCTTACATATATCAGAAACTCTTCTTCCAATTGCAGAGAAAGCAAAATTGGTTAGTAGATGCATAGATGCAATAGCATATATAGCATCGAAAGAAAGCCAGTTTTGTTCATCTGGTAGAAGTGATGGTAGTAGCAATGAAAGAGTGATGAATTCTTCTACTGTTTCTCATCAGAGGCCAGTTGTTGATTGGTGGGCTGAAGATCTTACTGTTCTTAGAATTGATTTTTTTCAAAGAGTTCTAATTGCTATGATGGCTAGAGGGTTTAAACAGTGTGGTATTGGTCCTATTATAATGCTTTATTCACAGAAATCTCTCAGAGGTTTGGTAAGATCCTTTATACCTTGACAAACAATTTTCATAACCCGCGTCATGTAGTTTGTTGTCTCTGCACAGCTCCTAACTGAGCTGGCTTAACGGGACGTGAAACTCTTTGTTTTATATATTGATTCTTGTCTTTCTTTTGTGTGGTGTAGGAGATATTTGGAAAGGGAAGGAAAGAGATCGAACCGCATGAAGAGCATGAAAAGAGAATCATTTTAGAGACACTAGTGAGCTTAATGCCGAGGGAGAAGAACGCGATATCCGTCGGTTTTCTTTCTATATGGCTCAAGGCAGCAAAATTTCTTGAGACAACAGTTGCTTGCAGGTTTGATTTGGAGAGGAGAATAGCCATGCAGTTAGGACAAGCTGTTTTGGATGATCTTCTTATTCCTTCTTATAGCGGCAACACCTCGTTCGATGTAGATACAGTGCAAAGAATCATGATGAGTTACCTTGAATCTGAACTTGAAAATCGTTCAGGCTATAATGACCAAGATGAATATTATTCTTCTCCACAGAGGGATGTTATTAGGGTTGGAAAGCTATTAGAGAGTTATCTTGCTGAAATCGCAACTGATAGAAATTTATCGGTTCCGAAGTTTATCTGTCTTGCTGAACTAATGCCTGAAAAATCAAGAACCATAGAAGATGGAATGTATAGAGCCATAGACATCTATCTTAAGGTACATTTCGATACTATTATTTTCGAACACAAATTTTTTCGTCACAAACTGTGTGCTGATAAAGTTAGAATTCAAAATTTTCAGGCTCATCCGTTTCTAAGCGACGCGGACAGAAAGAAAGTTTGCAGCATGATGGACTGTCAGAAGCTATCACGAGAGGCGCGCGCACATGCTGCGCAAAACAACAGACTTCCTGCTCAAAATGTGGCTCAAGTTCTCTACCATGACCAGCAGCGTCTTCGCGACAATATGGATGGCACTGGCAGCGTAGGTTCGGATTCTCCTTCGACACCTGACAAGAGGAATGTATACTCATCTGAGCTTTATCCTGCTTCAAATGAGGTTTCGAAATTAAGAAGAGAAAATGAAGAGCTGAAGTTAGAGATAACGAAACTTAAAATGAAAATAAAAGAGATTGAAAAATGTACAATTGAATATGGTGTTAGTACTAATAGTCCTTTATTAAATTCACCTTCAGCTCATAAGCCTCCTTTGCATAGAAAATCATTCCTAAACTCAGTGTCCAGAAAACTCGGCCGTCTTTCTCCTTTTTCACGCACTGATCCTAGCTTAACACCAGCCAAAGATCGCATAAAGCTAGACAAGGTTCGACGCTACTCCGTATCTTAATATTGTGTGAGATATAATATAATAGTCTATTTTTGAAAACATGACAGTTGCATGTAATGTGATTTATGTTGTTCATATTATCAAGTTAATAATTTTGATATTTTTATTAAAAATATTGTTTTCTCTTATTATTCGGAAGAAGAAATATCTTTATTTTGAAAGTTATGTAAAACAAATTAGTTTTTACGGTTTTATTTTGAATTGAACATATATCTAATGTTTGACACGTGTCGCTATCATTAGTGATTTTTATTGGATTTTCTCAAATATTAAAGTGTCATAGACACATAGATTTTCTGTCAAGATTGAAATATTTATAACTCTATATGTGATCAAGGATTATTTAGGTAATGTAAAGAAAACATAGTTAGTGGGGTATGTTTTAAACTATTGAGACTTTAGGATAAAAAGCTTGTAGAGAATGTGATTATACTTCAAATGACAGACTAGCATGGTCCGTAGTAATAATGTCCAAGCCTAATAATAGATAAAAGAGAGAAAGAAAGTGATCATGGTTTGGTTTAAATTCATGCATATACTAAGGATATGAAATGTAGTAATATAATACTACATATTTTTGGGACACACCTAACTTAAATATTTGGTAGAGAATCTTATGTTCATGTGTTAGCAGACAAACACAAGTTCTTTAACTTCTTGTTGGCTACTAACTATGTGATTTATGTGATTTGTGAGTGATGTGTGGAAAATAAATGGTTTACCTACTTAGTTAGTTAAGGGAAGTAAGGAAACATCACTATAGAAAGTAAATTCTTTTTGCATTCATTTATCTAATAGATCTAACAGCATTATAGAAAGTAAATTCTTTTTGCATTCATTTATCTAATAAATCTAAAATATAATTAGTCACCAAATTCCTTTAATATTCCACTTTAACTTTTTAACTAAAAAACATTATAATTAGTTCCTTAATTTCACTTCTATTATATTATTTGGTCAATTCCATCAATTTATGATGAAAAAAGTTAAGTTCGATTGTTTTAGCATGACAAAAATGTCATTGGTATAATCTGAGTCAGTATATATATAGTTAAAAATTGAAACAATGTTTAAACTACTAGAGTTTTGTTTTCGGGAAAACTCCCGAACTTTAAACAGTGTATCCATTTTTAACTATATATATTAACTCAGATTTGTATCAATAATCTTATTGTCAAACCAAATTATTAGAATTTAATATTTTTTTATTAGAAATTGACGGAATAGACTAAATAAGATAATAGAAGTAAAGTTAATAGACAAACTCATAATATTTTTTTTAGTTAAAAAACTAAAACGGACAATCTGTATCGTTATTGTCAATCACAACATGATTGTCTCACCATAAGACCGCCGTCGGACATTCTGTTAGATAAAGATTCTAGATTGAATTATTTTTTTTTATAATATTTCAAACACTCTCACATATCTTAGAGTTTTTACGCAAGAATATGCATGATAATTCAACCAAGAGTTATTAATAGAAGTCATTATCGTCGTTATCCCGGGATTTTCGGCCGGAGCAGCCACCCTTCGCGACGAATCTAAGGTGTGGATCCCAGTTTTAGATCACTGGCGCTAAATTTGATATATCTTGGAGTGGGTTGTGGGCCGCTACCCAAGTGGAGCGATTTGACTTCTTTTTTTTTTATATACTTTTTAATCAGATGTAGGGCTGGAAATGAGTCGAGTCGAGTCGAACTCACCTCAACTCGGCTCGACTCGTTAAGAATTGTTCGAATTCGAGTTCGAGTTCGAGTTTGACACGAACTTTTTTTTAAGCTCAAACTCAACTCGTTATAAGTTCACGAACAGTTCGGTTCGACTCGTTAGGTTCATCTCATTAGGTTCAGCTCACATGGTTCACGAACTTAAAAACTATTTTTTTAAATATATATATTTTTTAGTATATTTGACATTTTAAATAAATATATATATTTTAAATAAAATATTAAAATAAAATAAAAGTTATCATATTGAAATTTAACTTTATCTTCGAAATCTAATAATTCAAAACCTACACAACTTTCAAGAGATGCATTTGAGAGTCTAATTCAAAAACTACTAAATTGAAGATTAAATTTGTCTAAGATTTGAAGTAAATATTTAAACCTAATCTTAAAGACAGTATAATTCTTTTTATATGTAATCGAGTTGACTCATGAACCTAACGAGTCGAACTATGTATAGTTCAAGTTCAGCTCATTTAGTTAACGAACTTAATTTTTCGCTCATACTCAACTCATTTGGTTCATGAACCTAGTTCAACGATTTAATTGTCGAGTCGAATTCCGAACTATCTTCGAGTTGGTTTGGTTCATTGCCAGCCCTAATCAGATGTTATCATAGAAGAAGATAGGAAATTGAAGAAGAATAGAAGAAATGAAGTTGATATTATGGAAATCGAATGTTATCGCAAAAGAAGAAGGAAATTGAAGAAGAGTAGAAGAAATAAAGTTGATATCTTAAAAATCAAAGGTTATCCCAGAAGAAGATGTGAAATGAAGAAATGAAAGTAGATAGATATATTTAATTAGTTAAATAAATAAGAGAATATAGAGTTATAGGGTTAGAAAAGTCAAAAAGTAATAAAGATAACGAGGATATCAAATGTTCCAACTTTAAGGCATTTACATCGCCCACCTCTTACTATTGAAAATATAATAATATAAATGTAGTAATATTTTTTTTAATCAATACATTAATATTAGTAGAAAACATCCTGCAATCGCGTTATTAAAAATGATAATACAATAATATTAGTAAAAAATAATAATACATTAATATTAGTAAAAATAATAATAATGATTATTTATAAAAAATATCCTATTTTTGGAGTCGGCCGCTCTGCACCACTTTTTGGGATTAATAACTCGGATTCAACATATACTAGAGTTTGCATAAGAAATATGAAAACTAGAATGTAGGGAAGAGAATATGAAATTTTATTGAAGCGAATATATGCTTTTGTATGTGTTTTTCTGAATCCGGAATGCTTAATTTATAGGCTAAAATGATGTTTTTTCACAAGGTTGTGATCCTAGACGAAACACACACTTTTAACTATTCTTTTACTAAATGTTGCATTGTTTTGTTTACAACAACACTTTTCAAAAGATGGCTATTTGCATTCTGCAACGGGCCGCCATAGTGCATTATATAACATCGCGTGTACCCTAATTTCTCTAATGCATCGTGCCTAAGTGCTCAAGTGTTGCCTACAAGTTACCACTAGTGTCTCTATGCCAACGCCCTCGGACCTGGTCCTAGAGCCGGAGTCAGTGTCTTCGGTGGCGACACCGACGAGGGGTGTATGAGACAAGTCGCATAAGGCTTGGGACCACCACACTTGTCCACGTGACACTTTATCCTCTTTAACTCATTTGTTGAGTTAATAAATATAACTCTTTATAAAATCTTTCAATGTGAGTAACACTTTTTATATATGACTATTTCTCATGCATTTATTGTCATTTACTCACTTGCACATTTTTCTTGTCATTTTGGAACACACTCATGGACATTCATCTTTCAATAATTAACCTAACCCCCACTTGTTTTAATAATGACAAGACCAATTTTAAAAAAAGAGAAACAAAGAATGTTTATGCAGTTAAGTATATTTTGATTTGAACTTAACCTTAGTAAATACAACGCAAAGTCTAATTGAAATGTTAGGTAGAAATGCTTTGAACCGTTACCCCTTGTGATTGGATCCACATTATCTTATACACACTTTTTAATGGTTCTTCCCCTATACCACTCGCCTAGCTCTACTTATGGCCATGTGCTTTTCCTGTTTAATGAATTTTTCATGAGAGAAACTCCAGCTCCCACTTTGAGACGACACCATCTCGAAATTCACACAGGTAAAGTACATATTGTATCTATTTATCTTAAGATACATATTCTCGACAATAAAACTCATTAAGAGTATGAGAACTCAACCCTCAATATGCAATAGTTAACATTGTCATATAACAGTGTACAAGCATCCAAATCAACGAATTGTTGTCACTCATTGAATCTTAGGTTAAGGTTTTCTTAACTTTAGATTAGATTTCTACCGTTGTTAGAACTCTTAGTAAATGGATGAGCTAAATTATATCTTTTTTGTATATATGCCCGCGAAATGATTTCATTCTTAATCAATTTTATCACAAAAGAATGTATATGACTGAAATTCTATTCTAAAGGGGACAAATGTTAGACCAAATGTCTGGGACAACAAGAACTACTGGTATATAACATATTACAGCTTCTGAGGACAAATGTCATACACGATGTTTGGGACATTGTAACTAGAAATAAAAACCAGTTTGCAAGCAAGATATGTTACATTAACTTATACAGGATGATGAAGCATAAAATCAATAAAGAACACAAGATATTTGCAATCTAGTTCGGTGAAACCACACCTACGTCTGGGGGAACTTTACTCAAGAAAGGAAACCCACTACTTCGAATTAGTACACTTAGTCTTACCAGAACCAACAAACCATATGTTATTCAAAACATCTTGCTAATCCTAGTGTTTTTCTATTTAAGGACTCCCCATAAATATGAGAACCTAATCACTTTCTTCTCAATCACATAACCTGTGATAGGTGTTTACAACTCAATACACAATGTTGAATATTACAACTCAATTTTATGGCAAGTTACTGAAATATAGAGATGTGCACAAAGATACTACCCTAATCCAATTATGGCATTATCATGGAATAGAAGAAACACTACGTTCTCAAGCTTATGGAATTAACATTTTGGAACAAAATTTACAACTCAATAAAAACAAACTCTACGACTTATGATATGAAAGGAGACGCTAGAGCAGTGCAGATACAAAGACTCAAAAGATAAACTCTAACACCAGTATCTTCAAAACTTGCACATCTCAAAAGTGACGTTTGAGTCTCCTTAAATATCAATGCAATCCTAGGATTTTCATATCACCCAAATGAATCAACAGAGCAAACAACAACAACAGTAAAAGTAGC